TTTCTTGTGTATTAGAACCATATACTATGCCAAGTGATATCAGTTCAGTGTAACAGTCTGATGTAGTAGAAATGTCTAGCAGCTTCCAGCTTTCATCATTTATGTATGACATAAAGGATATGATCCAGAGTAATGGAGAAAACATTTTTGGCATGATGCTGTTTCATTGTGTATTTCAGGAACAACAACAAAAAAAGGCAGATATGCGGGAGACTATTTTAAACATAATGAAATTAAATTTTCAATTGTAAGTCTACTCTCTGAAGCTTTGAATTTTTTTTTTTATTTGTACGATGTACAGAAACTATGTGCACAACATTTATTAAGCACATCATAACAAAATAAAATTGGGCCTCAATTGAAATGTGATACTTGTACAGATTCTCCAGCTTAGTATCAGGAAGCCAAGCACACAGAGATGTTGTTCAAGACAACATGCCTAGCTGTAAATGTGGTAGCAATCCATTCTGGAAGGGGGAGGAGAAGAGTACGGAATCTATTCTCTGGCCCATTAGTATATGTGGCTAACAGGGAAGAAATGGTGAAGAGACAATATGGTGATGAAGTCTTGGGGAATAAAAAGGCAATCGAATACTCAACAAATGAGAAACTCGTAAGAAAGACCTGCAAAAGTGTCTTATTTGCAGCTGCCTTTTAAAAAGACACTTCTGACCTGCAGCTTATAAACAAAGCTGGTGTCACGAGGGAAGGTCTGAATATATGTAAGATCACACGGAAACCCCCATCTGTGATCGATAGATATCAAATTGACAGGATGACAAACTTGACAAATTCTTGACAAATTGACAAAGATTGACAAATTCTCAGCGCTACTGTGAAAAACAAAAATTAATTTCTCAGTAAAGTGATCAGGACTGGCATCTGATCAGGCAAACAGAGCAGGAAAACCATTGTATGGTGACTTATATCTTGAGAACTTCTTGTACTGAGAGAGCAGGAAGGTGCTATCAAATGATAACACATTGCCGAAAGTGGAATAAGAAGTAATGGGCACAAGCAGCTCTCACCAAGGGACATACGCCCAAGACACCATCTGAGATGGAAAGTCAATTAGTTGTCAAGTTTAAGCCCAGGTAATGAGCCTACTGGAGAACGAGGCAGCAGGAGCATCAACAGCACTGGGTTGAGGTGGTTCCTCCTGCTCACTCTGAACATGCTCTGTGTGTGCTGGCAGCAGGGAGTGGGCAGTGACACAGGGCTGTCATCAGTGCCCCCAGGCCTCCTTAGGTACTTCAGTGTCATCTCTTGACAACAATCCTCCTAGTTGTGGTCAGCTTCACAGGTTTAACTGGCAACATTTGGTAGATATTACCAGGTGATGTAAGTCTTCTATGTCGGAAAAAAATGCCAAGAGACGTGGTGCCAATTTTCCATTTATATCCTCTGTTCTATATATACCAGCATTAAATTTTAAGTGCAGCCACAATCTCATCAGCTCATGTTCTGTTACAGTGAAAGATGTAAGCAAGTATCTGCATCTTTTACTGAGAATACATATCTCACAGTCCCAGTTGTCTGTCGTCATTTAAATAATGACAGATGCTGATCCGCCTGGATGAGGCAGAGTCTGGAGCCACCCGCTCCGTCTGAGGCAGGTTTTTATGTTGCCAGAACATAACTCTGTCTCCTGCAAGCCTGAGTTCCTCTAGACAAGAGCAGACAATGCCAGTGTGTAGTTATTTTAACCCCACAGTTTAGTCACCCACTTACTGCAGAAAGCAAACAGTAAGGGAACAATCTCTTCTCAAACCTGCTTGTGCTGCAAGCCAGCATTGCTCAGGAAGAAATGTGTAACATGACGCTGCAGACCCTGACAGCATCTCTCCTGTCCTGTCCTCTCTTCTTGTGAATAGAAACTCTAGGACTTCTGTCACTTTTAGAACTAGCTAATCTAACTACTAACTACTTTAAGTGAATTTAGGGTACCGGAAATGCTTACTTAATGTGTATGCAGTATTACTTACCCTATTGCTTTCTGGATTATGATAAAAAGCAAGAAAGTAGTTGGTAGTTTTTTTGTTTGCATTTAATTTACTCTTTTAATCTGTACACCTTGGGGTATACAAGGATGGTGTCTAGCAAGTTTACAAGTGTAAAAGGATAGACACTGATGACACTGCCTCTGTATGTGTAACAGCTGTGACTGAAAAGACATTCAATATGGCTAACACTTTGAGATCTCAGAGATCCAAAACATGATAACATTTTCTATAATAAATCTTTATTGATATCTAGTGTCATCATAGTGTCTAGTACATTACATATCAGTCTGCTAAAAATGATGCAAGAAACTAGCCTAACAAATCTGCCTTTCATTGGCAGGGTTATCAAGGGACTGCTGAAAGTAGATTATCTACCTGCTTTTTCTATTTTGCTCCAAAAATTCTGTAGCACCTATGTTGGCTATAACACGCAGTACAGCATCATGATGAGCTAGAAGAGCTTTGCTTGTAGGCGTCATACTACTTTAAAAGGCTACAAATCCTACTCAAAAAGGAAAAAATACAAATGAAAGAATAATCACAAATCCTGCCTCTTTTGTTGAACAGAAGTAGGTTCAGCTTACTTTTTTTTTTTTTTTTTAATGTACTTTGCCATTCATAAAGAAAAAATGTAAGGATTTTAATCTCTAGCCTTACACATGAGTTTAGTAGACAGCAAAATGCCAACCAGCTTCCAGGAAAGTTAGTCCCATTTACCAAACACAAAGGCACTGTCATTCAAAAAGGCTTTCCTCTTTGTGTCTAAATCCATGTGTCTAACTTGCTAGTTCTGTGTTTTTGTTTCTCTTTTTTTTTTATGTTTTACTAAAAGTACATATTAAAAAAGTCTTGTTACTTACATGCATTAGCTGTATTATATATTTTATATGTGGCACAACACAATTCCTCTTCACTCAGTGAGGCCCAGGTGAGCCACAAGGTTGGACACCCATGATGGATAGCCAGGCACAGTGCAAAGCGCGTGCCAGCTTACTACTGTGAACCTGTGTTTAATGCAGTAAAAGTCTATCATTACTTCTGAAGGGATATTCACTAGACATAGGAAAGACTGCTGCTTGGGTATAAATTTCCTTTCTCAGGGGAAGGCCTTTGTGCCCTCCCAGAACAAAGTGTAACTGAGTGATGTTTAAAATCAGCTTTAAAAGGCAACACGTGGTTTTAGCTGTAGTATTCATTACACAAGATAAAGTGTCTACTGCAAAAAATGTATACTAATTTTCAATGCAGTCTTCACCTGCCGAAAAGATATCAGTATAAAGTTACTTTCTTGTTCTTGTGATGTTACCACAGATCACCCTTTCAGACCACCACCTGCTTGAGTGGAGCTCTCAACCCTGAGTGAAGCTTTTCTCTCTATGCTTTTCTAGTGCTTAAGGATGTGAATCATCAAGTCCAGCACAAACAGACCTACTGCAGGAGTTGACAAAAAAAAAAAAAAAAAATCAGCAAAAAGGGCTGTTAGTTAACTTGCTCATTCATTCCCTCATGCATCCTATTTTTGCTTACAGGAAAATTATGTAATTAGAACATTTTTCTATTATAAGGCCAGAAGCTGCCTCCTGGAATTGATGCTGAAGTTTCTTCCTAGTTGTAGTCCTCACTTTCCCTGCGCTGACCTCTTCTCCCACAGCATGCACGCTTTCACCCACATCCTCCCTGTCTTCCACCCACGCCATCAGAATTGGGATTTTACACACTCATTTCCTATAATAACTATTTTAAAATTTGCATTTTTTTCTACAAGCACATCAATGAATAGCGTTAACAGCATGCAGTGTAAGATGTTCATGTAAGATGCTCAAAGCCTGACAGAAAATGGCCTAATGACTAATAATTTTGACTTACTGGGCTGTGAATGGCTATATTTAAGTATGTAACCCCTCTTAACTTCTTTACACCATGGTGCAGTATAGTTCACTTAGCCTAAGAGGAGGATAATGACAGCTTTATACAGGATCTCATGTCACACCTCCAAGTTTTCTTTTTATCTCCTAGATTACACTGCACATTAAAGCAATAGTGTGCATTAATCTGACCTCTGGCATTTGGGCCATACTAACCCACCAGCGCAGGTTTATGTACCTCACACCTCAGACCCTATCAAGAAATTTGGCAGTGGCAGCTTGATAAGGACACCATACTTTACTGAATGTGTTCTAAAAACAACATGTGCAAAACACTTCTCTGGGATACTTTTTAATGACCTTCCTCACTTGTGTCCCTCTTCTTTAACTATGACCCATGCGGGTTCTCCAAACTTCTGCAGCATCAGAAAGTGCTGTAAAGAAGCAGCAGTGAGAATTCTGAAGTTTATGCAAAAATGCTAGCACCTGGAGAAAGGAGGGGGAAATCTGTGGAAAGACTATGACTTTCTGGAAACCCTAGAAACTGTTTATTTTAAAATGATAAAATAATTCTTCTAAAAAAGGTTACATTTCTAATAAGAGTGATCACATTTTTCATTTCAGTACTGGTCTAATTAACTGGTCTAATGAACCTGAATTACCAGCTACTTTAAAGTGAAAATTCTAGCAATGGAAGGTTTCTAGTATTGCAGCAGTTTAAGCAATCATTGTAATCCATTCAAATTCTCTTTTTATTAGTGTGTCACTGATAGTGAAATAACACTCCCCAGATTCCTTATCCCAAGTTGGGATATGTATTGGCATTTATGTATTGGAAAATATGTACTTCAAAAGGAGGAAAAATTAACCAATTCCTCAAATTAAACTTTCAAGAAAGTTGGGGCCATTCTAAATAATCTTAATTCAATGACAGAGTGGCTCAGGAAGACAATGGTTACTGCTGTAATCTTTATATACCTTCTCATAATCCAATAATAATAATTATACTTTTGGAATGGTGTTTCTATTTTCTAATTCTATCCTCACTGAAAAAAAAAAATCATTCTTTAAATTTAAAAATTGTTGAAAAGTTGAAAACTTTTTAATTATGATGGTGACTACTGTAATTAAAGTAGAGACCAAAGTAAAGTCAGTTGTTTTATTAAATACACACAAAGCTTTATAGAACTTGGATAATGAATGCACTGAGAGCATTTTAATGCACAACTTAAGAAACAAATGGTAGTCCAGATTCAAAACTACATAATAGCGTCCTGAGAGATTCCTTTTCACACTTGTCCAGTGATATTTTTAAGATCTACAGCTTACAAAAGAGCCAGTGCTTTATTGCAGTCACTTTTCAAGGCTAGCATTACATTCATTTTATCTCCTTTCCTTTTTTTCTCTCATTATCTTCTTGCTTTCTTCTCTTCTCCTCTTATTTACAGGATTCCGTGGATCGTAGATCTCAAAAGTGTCTTCATCCTGCATGCTTGCATCTTTCACCTTTCTGCTCCTATCTTCAAACTGAAGTACATGTGACATCCTAAGAAACAAATAAAACATGGCTCAAATACAGTGACAGAACAGTAAGTTATGATTTCTGATTATGATAACCATGACAAAATTGTAGCACCAAGCAGCACCATGTAGCAAAGAAGACCTAAGCTTTGCTATTTTTTTTTCCTTTTCTTATTAAACTCTGGTATAACAGGATAACCACTTTTATGAAAACACATGTTCACAAATACCAGCTGGAATTTGCTCTGCTGGATTTTATTTCAAGAATTGAACTCTCTTGTCTTGTCTTTTTCTATTTAATGTATCTTCCCAAACATACTGAATAATTTTCCCAGGAACAGGGAGTGTTTCTTGAGAAACTTTTCCTATTAGTCACTTTGGACTTCCTTTCACAGTTCCAGTTAAGCAAAAGGAGAGAAGAGCTTGCATGGAAAACTAAGAAGGTGCACAGATCAACATGGGAATGCCTGAATTACTACTCTTCCACCTTAACCTGGCTCAGATAATACTTTTTAATTATTTCAATGTTAAACCAATGTTTTTTTCAACCCCAGTTTTTTCTACTGTTGATTAGAAATCTTATTTTCCCTTTTCAGCAAATTCTCTTTCCAGTCCGACTGATCATATTGCCATAGTCTAGTCAAAAATTTCTTGTTAGCTGCATCCAGTGCCAGGAAAGCCTTAAGCTGATTAACTGTGGCCTTATTAATAGAAACCTACAAGTTTTAGTTTGGACTAAAAACAAAGAGATAAATTATTTGTTCTGTCTAACGAAAAAGGGTTGGGAGAAAAGAGAAGAAAAATACTACAGATGCTTAAAATTTGACTGATTGTCAGTCTACTGTCTTTACTGACAACCTTGTTACTTTTGTGTATCACACAATGTAGTTTTAAGTATCAAAACTTGCCTGCAGAATTAATGGTGTTCATCACAGCAGTAATATTTTAAATGAAAAGCCCACATGATTACTTAATAAGACTATTGAATATAAAGTCATAGTAACACTGGTACTTATGGGCCAAAGGCAGCAGAATTAGAAAAAAAACACCAAAAACTAAATTAATGATTTTTCAGTGCATAGAGATGTGATAAAAAAGCTCACTTAAGTCTGGACTCTGTTTTAATCAACTGTAAAAATTTCTTTAACTTTAATGGGACAATATTAACAATGATTTGAACAATAACAATTGAACTGAATATAAGCCTGTTTGTCTTTACAACATTAGATATTGGTAAAGTCCTTATGAAATAGGAAGTCCATGAAAAACAAGTCAGAATGAAAGCTCGTTTACTGATGAAAGATTGCTTTATCAGTCTCTCACAACATATAAGAGATCGTGAACAAAGCAGATTTTTCAAAGAGCTCTAGTGCAGATCTTCACATGTAAAGGGACAGAGCACCATCAGGTCAGTAGATGTAGATTACAGTATTGAACTATTAAAGAAATCAAACAAAATTCAAAACAATGGAACATATGGGTTAGAATGCTTTTGAAAAATCTTACATGCAGTAATCGAGATTTTTCAACACAATCTATTATTGACGTGTAGGTTTCTTACATTTTTCACTGAACAGTACTGAAAGTAGGCATGCATATTACCACGTCCTCTGAAAATACTTCTTAAGACTTGTTTCCAGTGTGTGGAATTCAGTAGTTTATAAACCTCATAGACTAATAAAAAAAAAATAGTATTTTCTTAGTCATATCTACAATTCAGAGTAACATAATGTACCATCAAAGTGATTCATGATTGTGTATTTGTAGTTTAATTATAAAAACACTGTATCACTGTGGAGAGACTGAAGTAATTTATTTTAGTTAACATGCTTTTTTACATTTGTCATATTTTTTCGACATATTAAAGATGAGCATCAAAATATGTATATACATTTAAAAATACAAAATCACATTATTCCAGACTAAATTAAAATACGGTCCCAAAGAGGTGCTGTCATTACTCACTAAGTGACTTTAGAGGATGTTAAATGAATGCGTACAGCGTACTCTCAACCATTTAATCAGCTGGAGTTTCAAACTATGACATAGTGTATTTGTAGGATACAATGCATAGGAATTAAATCTCTCTCTCATTCTTGGGTCTGACCATAGAAATAGGATGCAGCAGATACAGAGAATCACAGAATCACAGAATCACTAAGGTTGGAAAAGACCTATAAGATCATCCAGTCCAACCATCCACCTATCACCAATGGTTCTCGCTAAACCATATCCCTCAACACAACATCCAAACGTTCCTTGAACACCTCCAGGGAAGATCACACAGTATTTGTTTCCAAGAGCTGAAAGAAGTCACTCTCTCACTTCTATTCGTAACTTTCCACTGAGGTGTTCCCAGTTGTGATTAAAAATATGCCAACATTAAAAATTACTTTGAAACTCACTGAATGAATTTCAGATGCAGCATCTCATAGGTAAAGTAAAAAAAAACCCAAAAGATTTTAAAAAATACTTCCCTGGTGTGAACTTCAGCTTAGTTTTGCAAGACACACATCTTCACAGGTATACCTACTCTGCATCAGAGTAAACGCTAAATCAGACTTCATACTATTGAAATAATGTCTTCTTTTTTTCAAGAACATGGGAAGTATCTAGTTGTCTAATTATATCTAGTATCTAATATTACAGTATCTAATTTTTTTGAAATTAATAAATTTAGAGTAGTCTTACTCAAGCAACTCCAGCAAGCCTGCATTTGCATGACTTTCCAAATGCTGAGATTGGGCTACAATTCCACAAATGCATGTGGTATGTTTTCCTTCTTCAGTTTATAGCTCTCTACCCTTCCTCATGCTCCTGAGTTCAGCAAAGAGCTGTCTGCCCCCTTGTGCCCTGCACTCACTGTGATGAAATCTCCAGCTTCATCTCTTCATCCCTGGACTTCCATAATCTACTACTCAACTTCTGCTTAACACCAACTGCTGACAGTTCATCTTACACTATGTAAGACACACAAATTTAAAATACTTTTTTTCTTCAAAATTTAAAGGATGAAAAGTGTCAGTTCTTATACATTAAACTCGAAACCCAAACTTTTGCAATGCAGGGTGTATTTCTTACCCTCTTCTCCCCTCTAAAAATTATCATGAATTAAATAGCTTGCCAAAACTGATGATTCTGGGTTAAGACTACCTCAGGCAGCAAATCAGAGCTAGCTATCTTACTACAGTTTTAGTGCTGGATAGTTTCAGTATGGATTTATTCCATGTGCTGAGGCAGCATCTGTGCTTTCAGCTGCACCTATTTCCTGCAGTGTTAAAAAAATGACATTTGCTACTCAGCTCTCTAGTGTATTGCAGAAATGAAATGTCTTGATACATTAGACTGAAATACCTGTACACATTTTAACTTGCATCAGAGATAACACAGTATTTCCAAAGGTAAGCAGATACACTCCTAGTACAGTGACATTCTTGGATGATTCATGCAACAGTTGGCAAACAAGACTCCACAGTCAATAGCAGACTGTGTATCTTCTCCTCAATGTCCTTGAACTGCAGTAACTAACACAATACCTTCCTGATCAGTTTGATTGTTTTCTAGGAGGTAACAAGTGGGAGAATGTTGGCTGCGATACTAAAAAAAATCAGTACAGCAAACTTCAAGAACTGCTGCATTATGATTAAGCTGTGTCCAATAGCTAAAGCAGCATTTGCCAGCTGGGCAGCAAAGACCAGACCCCACCTGCACGGTGCTCTCCAGGCAGACTCAAGCAGCTTATTTGGGAGACAGACTGTTCTACTGAACTACTGCAGTGCAAAGGTACTTGTAAGAAAAGATAGGATATATGGTAATTCCTGTGATTTTGGGATGTGTGAGCCATGCACTGATCTGAAGCATGTGCCAGCAGCTGACAGCTGGCAGTCATTTTAAGCGTAGCATAAGCAGACATCAAGTATCACATCAGCTCTAGCCTTTCCTGCTCTGCCCTCTGGGAGAAACCAAAGTAGCAATCAGTGAATTTAATTATTTTCAGTATCAGTGATAACAAGGAAGTAGTGAAAATCCTTTTGCACTAGGGCTGAAGCTCTAAACTCCATATACAACACAATGCCCAAATCACTAATTTTTATACTAACTGAAGTGAAAAACTGCATTGTCTAATTTCACGCTTGTTAATCAATCTGGCACAGCTGTTGGCTGTTACCAGCCCACCTGTTGCTCATTCAACCTTCCTTGTCCAAGTTACTATCTGTTCCATTCCCTCCAGCACTTCAGTAACTTCCGTAGAGTGCCTGGGACATAAGCTTACACTAACCTATGTCATTGTTTTAAACAGCTCAACTTTGCAGTAAATCCTCAACAGGCATGGACAAATTCTGCCAACTCTGCTATAAGGCAGCAACTTTTGGCAGAAAGGCACTAACATCTCAAGCAGTTATAGTCAGGACTCATTTGGGGGCGCCTGCAAAAAGCATGGCAGCTGGTGACAGATCTTTTGTTTCTGCAATCAGCAGGCACTGAGGAATAAGAAATGCAGTTCTTCAAATGCAGAACAATATGCTACTTAAAATGCACTACTTACTGTAGTGTAAGTAGTGACAACAAACCTATATGCTGTTTCAGGGGAAGAAAAGGAAAGAAGAGGAACAGCAGCTATTCCAGTTAAAAGCAGGTATTGTCCCTGGGAGAGGTGTACTCCTTAAGTAACTTATGAGTGCTGCAGCTCTAAGAAGAGACAGTGTGGAGATGGCTGGCTCCTGCTGGAGCCTGCAGGAGTGGCACACCCAGTGTCATCTTAGCTCCCAAGTGGGGGAGTTGGAAACAATCACAGATGGTTAGCTTTTAGTTGAAAGGAATTCTCTGTTAGGATAAACTTCTTAGCCAGATGTCTCAAATCTTTAATATATATAATTTTACCACTACAGCCTGTAACAACCAATCCCACCTTTTTCTGCATTCAACATCACTTGCAAGTAACATGCTACCTACTTTTCTCAATTATGACAAATGTTATGTACTCAAAAAACAAAAGCAGTAATCAAGTACTACTGCTTCCCTTAC